GTGAACTTTGCATCAATGTCGGACAGTGCTTCCGCAATGAAAACGCTAAAAACTATGAAGGGTTCTACCTTTGATGAGCTAGACACGGCATTGACAGAGTGGTTAGCTCAAGTTCGAAAAGAGGGCACTCCTGTAAATGGTCCTATCATTGCGGCGAAGGCAAAAACCTTTTTTGAGTTGTTAGGCCTGAAAGGAAATTTCGATGCGTCTTCTGGCTGGTTGACTCGTTTTAAGCAGCGACATGGAATTCGAGAAATTGGACTTCATGGGGAGAAACTTAGTGGTGACCAACAAGCAGCCGACGATTTCCACCGTAAATTTGAAGAATTTGTTTTAAAAGAAGAGCTATCTTTTGAACAAATTTACAATGCCGACGAATCGGGACTTTTGTGGAAATGTCTCCCCACTCGCACTTTAGCATTTGAAAGTGAAAGTAAAGCGGCGGGTCATAAAAGCAGCAAGGAAAGGTTCACTATCATGTCTTGCAGTAACGCTACCGGTGGACATAAACTTAGATTTGTTGTCATTGGAAAGTAAAAAAAAGAGATCTTTCAAACGCACAAGGACAGAAAATTTGTCCATTGAATACTTTAACCCCCCCAAAAAGGGGGGATGGATGAACCGAAACATTTATTAAGAATGGTTCGAAAAAATCTTTCAAGTGCGTAAATATCTTAAATCGAAAAACCTGCCTGAGAAACCTGTGCTATTGATCGACAACGCACCATCTCACCCAGCAACAAGCGTGCTAAAGTCTTCTGATGGACAAATTTTTCCAAAGTTTCTCCCCCCAAACGTTACTAAGCTAATCCAACCCATGGACCAAGGAGTCATTGCAACAATGAAGAGAACATACCGAGCCAAGCTGCTAATGACCGAAATTGAAGAAGTTTATGATCTGAAAGAGTTTTGGAAATACTACGCAATCTTGGACAGCATCTGCATGCGACTCAGTGAAACCGTCAACCTTCATAAAATCACGGAGGAAACTTATGCCTAATGTTGAAGCCAACAACAACCTAACCCCTTTGAGTTGTGAAGAAACGAATGAAGATATAGACACGCCCACGGCAACTCTTGCCGATATGGTGAAAACAGTTCCGGGTGGTGAGAACGTCGATGCTGAAAACATTAACGAGTGGTTGGAGTGTGACGTCAACGAACGCTTGACAGTTGACGAAATTGTGAAGAAAGCAAGGGGAGAGACTGAGAATGAAGGACAGCGAAGTGAAGGCGAAGAAGAGCCCACTGTGTAGATGCGGAAGACTCACGCAGCGGCTTTGCAACAAGTCGACGGACTGCTGAGCGATTTGGAAGAACAAGACGATGCGGAGTTGGCCGAGAAACTTATCCTACGAAGAATGCAATTTTGGATCAAGAGAAAATGCTTCCAAAGCAAAAAGCAAACACAAATGATTGATTTCTTCAAAAAGGTGTAGTTTTACAGTTATGTTATTGTAATTACATAATACATTACAGTATCAAAACAGTACATATGTATTAATTTTTCTGTGTATCCTTGACGCCTCTCGTAAGTACAAAGTTAACAAAATGCTGTTTTCATTAACAGAATGCATTTTAGGTTAGTTTTGAGTGATATACTAAAATATTAAGCGTTACTTAAACATTTCCTGCTCGTACATAAAACGATTGTTCAAAGTTGGAATGACTGTTTTCTCTTTTGCTATACCCGTTTTTAGCTTTTTTCGGATTATCCGCGGCGGCCGCGCCAAACAATTTCGCGGATAATCGGGAGTGTTCTGTAAATAAAAGAAAAACTAACCCCCTTATTATAAAGGCATAAATATCATTTACCATTGGATTTAGTCTAAAATCTTCTAGACATTTTCCTAAATTGTTCGATGTTTCGAATTCTTTTAGAGTACTTTCAATTCTTTCATCGAATTTTTCATATGCTTTTTTCCTTTTTATTCCAGGGTCGGCTGTTTTCTGCCAGTGATTGCATTTAATTTGGAATTCCACCCTTCAACAGAATTATTTGTCCCATGACGCTGTCCATATACATTCCATACTTTAATGGGCAATTTTGGATTGTCCATCCACTGCTCGACAAAATAATCAATGAATGTGGTAAGTTTGTCAATGCTAAAAGCTTTTTTCCATACAATGCTCCAAGGATCATCTATGTGTTATATTGGCAAGCAAGCTAATGCAGAAATCATTCTACAGACATTTCTTATACCTTTGTTCTCTTTATATTCCTTTACTAGACCATTTCTTGTATTATATGCTACAAACATTGATTAAAATGAAAATTGCAATCGGAAATAGTCAAACTGGGAAATTCTAACATATAGCTATGGCTGTATGTATGGCTGCGGCTTCAAAATCCAATTTTATAATGTCCGGTTTCCACTTAGGGCACCAATGTTTCACTTCCTGAAACATTGCAATGTAAGTTGCTTGTCTCTTATCAGGCAGAAATGCAAAAAGCGCTGGATAAACATTCGTCTCAGTTGCTGTACTCCTTAAGTTGATGTGAATTGTATATATTTGAGCAAATTGCTTTGGACAACTTTCAAATGTTCCATCTAAGAAAAAGGTCTTTTCATTTTCCGAAAGGTACCGAGATTCTTCTCCACCAAATACTAAAATCCTGTTATCTTGGTCATTTTGAAAGTCTAAAAGAAGAAAGTTTTCTCCATTAAAAAGCATAAGTGTATCGTTTGCAAACTGAATGTCGTTGGCCTTTCCCCTCTCTTTAAATAAAACAGTCTTGGCACTGGAGTATGTCGGTATTTTAGTAATGAAATCATAACTTTTCTGATATAATTCTGAAAGTTCTTGAAATATCTAGGGAACGGGAACTGATGTTTCTTCTCGGACTTTTTTTCTGCAAGTCTCTAACTTCCTTTTAACTTCGACCTCAGCAATGTTGGGCACTCAGGAATGTTCAGTTTTCTTCAGTACTTCGTATTGAAAATTTGTCTTTACATTTCCTTTATAACAATGTGGCTTTTCTTTTACACATACCCAACTCATTCATAATATATTTTTGGTGTAAACAGTGTGGGTAATCATCTACAACTAAACATTCTTTTCCTTTTTTTGTAGAGAGCAATTTTGTTGAAATGGCTATGGGTTCCATCACAGATTTTTTCGATGCTATAAAATGACATACACACTTCATAAGGTGTTAAAAATTTTTGTATTTGTTCTGCGATGCTAACACATCATCTGTGAGAATCGTCTGCGCGACTATATCTGTGCAGTCATAAAGAGTTAGCAGTTTTTTCCTTTACCGTTGTTATTGTTAAACATTTTTTAAAAATGGTTGTTCTAAAAGATTGAAATTGTGTTTAATTGCTTATTCGGAATACATTTTTTATATATAAGGATCAAAGATCCGAGAAAATGAGAAAAACCTTTTCTCCTAAAAGAATGGGCTTATCTCTACAGCAGGTACAAAACTCGAAACTACACAACAGATGAAATGTAACTGATTAAAGAAACAACACAATAGGTGCAAGAATGTCCGCTCTGCCCACCCGGCTACCCTCAAGTGTCCGCTGTAGCCACTGTCCGCTCCATGTAACCATTACATCGCCTGCCGTACTTTGATTGAGAACAGTAGCCAAAATAACATTACGTATCTGACTGCATTAAGTACAATTAAATTGACAGATTCAGAATTTTATAAATCCGTAATAATGTAATCCATGTTTTGCTGTCAAATGAAGTTGTCTTCGAACTGTTAGGAAAAAATAAATTAAAAACGCAAGATTTGAATTTTTCATGAATCCGTCTTTGATGATACATTGCAAGTATTTCTAAGCACAATCCACAAGAAAAGAATTCTAGTAATTATTGTGGGCAAGTTAATTTGGTTGAGGATTTATCAACCGAATTAACTTGTTGATAAATCCTCAACCAAATTAACTTGTTTTATGTTGAAGATTTATCTAACAACTTAAAAGGGTTTTGGGAAATCGAAGAGGTCCATGAAATCAAATAGCCAAAAAGTAAAGATAAACAATTTTGAGAAGAACATTTTCTTCGTATGCGCTATAGAAGAGAGGATAGGAGATACATCTTATAAATGCCGATTAAAGACGATGGGATTACACAATAGGGGGAGTCGAAGAAAAATGCCCCCCAAAAAAGATTAAATTATTTACTTAAGCGTTTCTCACACAATTCAACTTTGAAAATTTTGTATGAAGAATCCATTACCAGGCATTGGGACACTCGGAAGAAATTTCTAAATTAGACAACCCCAGATTTTCGTATTATATGCCTCATCACAGTATTTACAGACTGTGCACCACAATTAAATTATTCAGCATTAAATGATCTCAAGCACTACCAGTACATCATAAACAATTTGGGAATAGAATTCCTCTATTTTAAACATTGAAGGAATTTCAGGACTCTCTAAAAAGTGTAAATATTGTGTGTTGTTAGCTGCTATCAAATATCAGCTATGACATTAGCAAATTGCAGCAAAATAAATAATTAAATGTCACATATATAAAATCTGAAAGATACTTAATTGGCAATAGATCTTTGAATTTCTAATTTTCAATTAAAATACAACCCCTCTTAACACATTTATACCATGTCACTGATGTCATTCTTTCTATGCAGTATCCACTTTGCTGTAAACTTTTGGCCAATCGCTATCCAGACCTAAAACAAAGAATTTCAAAGCATATAAATAGTACTTCAACTAAAGTAACAAATACATCCTCTTTTGCAACTTTCACAACTTTTAACTTCCAAGCTGGTCATGGTTTCTTCCAAAATTCTATTCGGTCATCCCCTATGCCGCATATTCCAGTCATCTACTCAGCAGCTTTCTCAACCATGACTAAAAAAGGTGAAACGTTTTCATTTTCTGAAACTACAACAATACACATACATATTTTTTATAATGCTAAGGATAAAGAATTAAATATTTCACATGGTGTGACAAATTTTTTAAAATTTCAATAAAGCAATTTTGGTAGTTTTTTCATATTAAAAGAAAAAAGGGAGCATAACAACTTAATCACAATTTTATTTCATTCATACAAAAAATTAATATTTTATATCTGTAGTTATAATACAAATTAGTTATCTATTTATTTACAAAATAAAAATAAATTGTGATAAAAATTACTTCAGCCGACAAACTTTGATTGGGCAGGATGCTTGAAATGTAAGGAAAAAAGGACCTTTCTGGCCAGGAGAAAAGGTGCTTGGAATTACATTGTAGGTCCCAGCTGGAACATTTCGTAGTTCCAAAATTGTAAAACCACTCCTATTTGAATACATACATAAATATGCATATTAAAATGTCTCATTTTTAAATTAACTTAAAAAATATAATTTTTCTCTACACAGACTAATAAATTTCACAAAATGTACAAAAATTACATTAATACATTTAGGACATATATTTCTGTAGTAGATTCCGAGAGTTCAGAGACTTGGTGCAAAGTTACTCATTATTATGATTTAAAATACAACAATTTTCAAAATAACTTCATCATGTAACTTTTGTAAGTTCTCATACAGCCTTCAGAAGTATTGCTCTAATCTCTTGAAATCGCCCATAATACTTACATTCTTTTTTCATTTATTTTTTAATCATCTAATTAGTTGACACTTATGCACATTAGCATAAATAAATAAAACTGCAGGTGGGCAAGGTAAGGTACTAAAGGTAAGATACAGAAGCATTTTAACAATATTTCTGGAAACTTTATAACTACAATCACCAGTGCACCTTTGCCAGCACAAACCACTGTTCACTATACCGCATCTTCTGTCTTGGATTGTATGGTGGATATCCTTTTGATGTAGCAGCAACATCAAAAGGATCCAGTCTAAACTTTGGTAAAAGGTACACAAATCTGTGAAAAAATCTTCTTAAAAATACAATATTGATTTCTCCCAAACTGTATCTTGGACAAAGTTCTGGATTGCCAAAATGGCTTGTTGGGAGAATTACGGTAGCTCCCGGCCGCTAGATGGCAGCACGAGTCAGTATAATCTAATGGCTTAAAATAGCATGGTAATATTGAAATAGTTTTATGTAACTAAAATTAATTAAAATGTATGTAATTTTTTTATTGTTTTTAAACAATATTTTGAAAAACAATATGTGTTATATTATCTTTGTATTGTATTACTTCTTTTTCTTAATTTAGATTTTCATACATAATATTTGTAACTGTGATTTGTGGGTTTCTAACTCTAACCTGATATACATTGATAACCATCTGCTTGACTGTAGAAATAAAGTGTTTTTTATATGTGCTAAGTTTCATTGAGAAGTTATTATTATCTAAATGGGCTAACCAGTATATTTTATTTTATTTTTAATAAATGGATATGTAAGCAAATGATGTGATATGCCCAAACATATTATTTTGCATAGCACTTGTGGGAAATGCTGATATTTTCCAGTTGAGCTGAACGCGTGAAACTATATGTGGTGACCTTTAGGACTCTCTTCTGGAACATTTCGTTCATCATGCCTGACGTACAGCCTTCCATGGTCGAGGATAAGGCCGAGGCTAACAGAGTTAGCGTAAAGATACCTCCTTTCTGGGTCGACAAACCAGAAATCTGGTTCTACCAAGTTGAAGCCCAGTTCGCCATTAGCGGAATAACCAGCGAGGAGACGAAGTTCAATTACCTCGTGGCCCAGCTCGAACCACGATTTATTGAAAATATTTGAGACATAATAAAGGATGCCGGAACCAATAAATATTCTGCTGCTAAAGCGCGTTTGATGCAGACGATTAAAGAAAGTGAAAATCTCAAAATCAAACGTCTCCTTACGGGGTTAGAACTGGGTGATACGAAACCCAGCCAACTACTGTGCAAAATGAGATCGCTCGGTGACACGGATGATATTTCCGACAAAGTGCTACGAACTCTTTGGCTTTAAAAAATGCCCGATGCGGTGAAACATGTGCTGATTGTAAGTGATGAGGACTTGGAAAAATTAGATACGATGGCAGACAAAATATTAGAAATGCAACCACGATCAGAACTTGCCAGTGTTAACAAGAATACCATTCATGGGGACGAGCTGTTAAATAAGATTTCTGCTTTAGAACTCCAAATAGCGAATATGACTGCCCATAACTACCGATCACGATATCGGAGTCCCAGTGGAAATCGCAGTACGAGTCGCAACAGATCTAGGAAAAGGTTCAACCCAAATGGTAAATACTGCTATTACCACTTCAAGTTTGGCGAGAAGTGCTTCCCAGAAAAGTGCAAAGAACCTTGCAGCTGGAAACAATCGGAAAACATGAACCAGCAGTAGAATCGGCGGCAAGTCCTGCTGCAATGAGTCCCGATTGCCGCAAATTCCGATTATTTGTGAAGGACAGAAAAACGGGTTTACGGTTTTTAGTAGATAGCGGTGCTGACGTATCTCTCATTCCAGCAAATTTAAAAGCTGAAAAAAAACCTTGCTCCTACACATTGTACGCAGCTAATGGAACTGAAATTCCAACTTTTGGATTCAGAACTTTAACTCGATCTAGGACTACGACGGCAGTTCCAGTGGCCTTTTGTGGTAGCCAAGGTAAGTAAAGGAATTATTGGTGCTGACTTTTTAAATAGATTTCACCTTCTGATTGATATTCACAAAAGAAAATTGATTGATGGTATTACCCAGTTATATGTCAACAGTGATATTTTGTCTATAACTGATGAGCACTGCATTAGCACTTTTGATCAGTCTTCAGAATTTTCTGATTTACTTAAATTATATCCAGATATCACAAAACCTAATATTTTGAGTACCTCTGTTAAGCATGGTGTCCAGCATTACATTACTATCAAAGGATTGCCTGTTCACTCTTGTGCACGACAACTAAGTCCTGCAAAATTGGCACTAGCCAAGCAGAAATTCCAATTTATGTTGGATAATAATATAATTCCTGATCGATATCCCATCCCTCAAATAGAGGATTTCAACTTGATCTTACAAAATACAGTTATCTTTTCTAAAATTGATCTTATTAAGGCTTATTATCAAATACCTATCGCGGAAGAAGATAAGCCCAAAACTGCCATCATTACGCCATTTGGTTTATATGAATTCAATGTTATGAGTTTTGGCCTACGAAATGCCCCATCTACATTTCAACGTTTTATAAATGAGGTTTTTCATGGCCTGAACTTTTTATTTCCATATTTAGATGATGTGCTAGTGGCTTCCTCATCAAAAGAAGAACACAAAGAGCACCTTAAGTTAGTTTTTGAGAGGCTGAATACTTATGGTCTTCGTATTAACGTAGCAAAATCCATAATGGGTGTTGACCAAATAGAATTCTTGGGATACCTCATCACAGCCAAAGGATCACAACCTCTCCCTGCGAAAGTTCAAGTGATCTTGGATTACAAGTTACCAAAAACCTTGCATGACCTACGTACATTTCTAGGCATGTTGAATTTTTACCGCAGGTATTTGAAAGATGCTGCAAAAAAAAACGCAAGCACTGCTACATGAAATGCTGAAAGGTGCCAAAAAGAAAGACAGGAGGCCAGTTCCTTGGACAGATGATGCCATTAAACAATTTGAACAATGCAAAAGAGATCTAGCTGATGCTGCACTTCTGAGTTTCCCAACACCTGGACTTCCATTATCTCTGTACACAGATGCTTCAGATTGGGCTGTAGGCTCAGTATTACAGCAATATGAAGCTGGAAGTTGGAAGCCAATAGCCTTCTATTCCAAAAAATTAAACGAAACTCAAAAAGCGTACAGCACATATGATCGTGAGCTGTTAGGTGTGTACCTGTCCGTGAAACATTTTAAGTATATGTTGGAAGGCAGAGAATTTGTTATCCTGACAGATCACAAACCTTTAACATTTGCATTCAAACAGAAGAATGAAAAAGCTTCTCCAAGACAGCTACGTCAGCTTCAGTACATATCTCAATTCACCACAGACATCAAGCATGTTAGTGGGAAGGATAACACTGTCGCTGATGCTTTATCAAGAATCGAAGTAGTTTCTGCCATTGATTACGAGCAAATAGCTCAGGAACAGTGTACGGATAATGAATTTAAAGAATTGTGTACCAATAATACCTCATTGCATTTTAAGCCATATATCCTTTCGTCTGGAAAAACTTTATGGTGTGATGTGTCACAAAATAAAATTCGACCATACATCCCGCATAAGTTTCGAAGGATGATTTTCAATCAAATCCACAACTTGTCACATCCTGGCATAAAATCTACTGTCAAACAGGTAGCTGCCAGGTTTACGTGGCCAGGAATTAACAAACAAGTTAAGGAATGGGCTCAAGCATGTATAAATTGCCAAAAGGCTAAAGTGATTAGACACACACTAAATCCAAATTTGCACAGTTTGAGGAACCAGATGTTAGATTTAGCGTCATACACATTGACATCGTTGGACAACTTCCACCATCAAATGGTCAAATGTATTGCTTAACCTGCATTGATAGGTTTACTTGTTGGATGGAAGCCATCCCTCTGCCAGACATTACTGCAGAAACAGTGAGCAAGGCCTTTTATGCAAACTGGATCTGTAGATTTGGTGTACCAAGCAAAATAATCACAGACCAAGGGAGGCAGTTTGAATCCGAATTATTTCAGAATCTGGCCATAATATGTGGAGCCAAAGTTTGTCATACAACTCCTTACCACCCCCCCCAGAGGAATGGAAAAGTCGAACGTTTCCACAGAACACTAAAAGCAGCTATTAAAGCTCATAACAGTGTAAAATGGACTGATGTCATACCAACGGTGCTTTTGGGATTGAGATCAGCGATAAGGGAGGATACAAACCACTCCATAGCACAAATGGTTTATGGGACAAACATTCGACTTCCTGGTGAGTTCTTTCATGTACCTACTTTCAAAATTGAACCTGATACCTTTGCAAGCAGGCTTCAGGGATACATGGACAGGTTGAAACCAATGAAAGTTCAGCATACAACAAAGCAGACTATCTTTGTTCATAAAGACCTCAGCTCCTGCTCTCATGTGTTCGTACGAATAGACAGAGTTAAAAAAACCCTGGAACCACCGTACGATGGACCTTTTCTTGTAGTGCAGAGACACGAGAAATATTTTGGTGTGTCAATTAAGGGAAAGCAAGTCAACATCTCAATTGACAGGCTTAAGCCTGCCTACTTGTTGAGTACAAACATCAACTATGATAATACATCTGCAATATCAGTGGGTGACAAAAAATACTGAAAGCTCAAAGTCACAAATCCCCAGTGGCGGCTCGTAGCTAAAATTAGGGGGTGCTGTTC